ACACAGCAGCCTAGAAGTGGTCTGCATCAAGAAGCAGAGTATGACCACCACTGCCTTTTTCTGGACACTGGATGCCCATCAATCCAGCCTAAGGTGACAGTAGGTGTTTAGCAGCTGCATTACACTGGTGGCTGTGTTGAAGTTAAGTCCCCCAGCGATTTTTTAACATGGATGGTTTTTAAGCCGGTGTTTCCCATCAGCTATACAACTTACTATTAGAATCAAAATGCTGGTGTTGTCATTTATCTTTATTAAAACTAATCTGGTTGGCTGCACCCATGATTACAACTGTTAAAATCCTTTGACTCCTGAAGACCTCAATTCATAGTAGCTCTGTCATTTAGAAATTGGAAGAGCTTGCTTAAAAATAATCAACACTAGCTTTATTATCACCATCATTATCACCATCATCATTCTCATGGGATACAAATGAAAGAAGTTTAAACAAGCGCAATGATTTGTTGGTAGGAGAGTAAGAAGGAGGACCAAAAAACTAAGACAAAAGTAAAGCTGGTTCTCAGTAAGAATTAGGACAGGAACTGGACTCCGTCAGATTTCCTATCCCTCTCTCATCTTTTTCTATTTATCAGCCTGCTTTCTCTCTGACTACTCTCTGGCTTTTTCCCATGGCAGAAAGCATGGCTGCCAACAGCTCCAGAGCTTTACTTGTTGCAGCTTCAGCTTCTTTAAAAGAGATTGATCTGGTCTCAAGGTTTGAAATCCAGAGAATGGAAAAAGTTGCCCGACATCATTAGCCAGCAGGGGAAATGCACAGCAAAACCACAATGAGATACCACTTTACTCCCACTAGGATAGCTAAAATCAAAAGACAAATAGTAACAAGTGTTGGTGAAGATACGGAGTAGGTGGAACCATAATTTATTGCTAGTGGGATTGTAAAATGGCACAGCTACTTTAGAAAACAGTTTGCTCCTCAAACTGTTTAACGTAGTTACCATATGATTCCTAGAGAAATGAAAACATACGTCCACACAAAAGTCATACACAAATTTTCATAGCAGAATTTATCCTTAATAGCCAAAAAGTGGAAATAGTCCAAATTCTATCAGCTGATGAATGAATAAACAAAATGTGGTCTATCCATGCAATGCCATATTATTCAGCCATAAAAAGGAATGAAGTACTGATACATGCTATAGCATGGATCAACCTTGAAAACCTTGAAAACCTTAGCACATTATGCTAAGTGAAAGATATAAGACATAAAAGACCACATATTGTATGATCCCATTTATATGAAAAGTCCAAAATAAGGAAATCTATAGAGACAGAAAGGTTAGTAGCTGCTTAGGGCTGACTGATAGAGTGTGGGTTGGTCACTGGCTGCTAATGGGTACAAGGTTTCTTTCAGGGGTGATAAAATGTTTTAAAATTAGACTACGGTGATGGTTGCCCAAGTCAGTAAATACACTAAAAACCATTGACTTGTGTGATTTAAATGGATTAATTTTATGGTATATAAATTATATCTCAATGAAGCTCTTAAAAAATGAATTCAGGAAAGGACTCAGGGACCCAGCCTGAGTCAGATGCCCTATCCTGAACTTACTGTGACTAGTGGGAACAGGGCATAGGGGAAGGTTTGTAAGAATATGGCAGCTCCTCTGAGAACCAGCTCCTCAGGACAGAGTTTATGTCATAATGGGGCGGTGGGATAGGGTATTAGTAGACACAAGTGCTCACCATACTGGCTTTTATAGATAATTTACATTTACCCAAACAGAGCATTAAGTGCTTCTTCTGAACTATCTCATTAATTATCACAACAACCCTGTAAGTTAAGTATGTAAAACCCATTTTATATCAGTACATGTTTGGATTAAATAACTTTCCCAAGGTCACTAAACTAGTAGGTGACCTGGGGCTAAGGGTGCAACTCCAGACCACATTCCAGTCTCCCTTCTCAATCATTAGGCCATGCTGCCTCCCTCTGGCTTTATTGAAAGTTGTTGAATAATTCTGGAAGTAATGAAGTTGTTGAAAAATTCTAGAACACAGCACTGGAGACCTAGTTTTAGATCCATTCTGTCTTTTACTTATTTACTCTGTCAGTAAAGGAGACCCCTTTCTAACATGAAAACCATGAACTTCCTTTGCTGGCCCAGGACCATTGTGGGTAGGCTTTGAGAAGTGCCAAAAGACTGGAGATGGTTGTTCAGCCCCTTCTAACGGCACTGTTATCCACACCACATTCCTCCAGCTTGTCAAGGGTATAAAGAACTGGGACAAAAGCAGCTTGCTGAAATCACAACGCAGCAGGTCTGTAACAATCTACTGATCCATCAGCCAGTTAACCCTCTCAAAACAAGAAATAAGTGTAATTTGGCAAGAGGTGGGCTTCGGAATACCACTTATTTTCCAATTGTTTGCAAGCTGTCCACTTAATAATATGCTCTCAAATTCTGCCAGCAATTTGATAGCAGAATTGATAGATGCTAAGCCAGTTGGTCTGTGGCTTCTCAGACTTTATTTCCCCTTATTTAAAAATATCAATTCAACAGTTTTCCCTCTCTAGTCTGGTGGTGTTTCTCTGCTGCACCATGATTTCTCAATGATCATGGGCAGTGGTTCTACAAATCTGTCTGCACCTTCCTCCCTTTTCCTGGTTGGGGAGAAGAGAGGATCTGGGTGGACTTGTGATGTGAATCCACTGATGATGGCTAAACATTTGCCTGCTCTTGACTTCCCCTACTTTAAGCTCAGGATCTTTTTTATCCACATTTGCCCCAGCTTTACCAAGATAAAGCCTATTCTTCTGGGAGAAGGCAGAGAGCCCATGGGAGCTGAGTCGTTCTGCTTTCTCTGTATCACCTGTTGCCAGCAGATCATCTGCGCCAGCAGTGGGCATACCTCTCCTCCTTGTTCTTTCCTCCAGTGGATAAAACAGTCTTTCTGTTGTTCTTAGCATTTTTCACCAGCCTCACTCACTCTGAAATGAAGCCTTCCTTACTCTGCCTTAGCTACTGCTGCCACGCTTCATTGTCATATGTGGTCATGTGCCCAATGCCCACCCTTCAATCATATCATCTGAAAATCCCAACTAACATAATCAACCCTAGGCCACCACCCTTTTCTTCATCATTTGGGATTATTTGAATTTGAGACAATCAGAGGTGTTTTTAGAGCTTCCCAGTAACAGAGACCATGGTTTCCAAAATAGTTTATGAAAGTATTTATTATTCATAGAGCTGTATATATCACAGTAGGGTAATGAGCTGGTCACTCTTTTTATCTTCATTTTATAGACAAGGAAACTGAGGCCCAGAATAATATTCCCCCAAAGTCACACAGTTATTTTATGATGGAATTGGGTGGGTCTTGAACCCAGGTCATCTAACTCCAGAAGCCAAGTTCTCAACCACTTCAAAGGAGGCCACTCCTGAGGGTCATGGCACAGAAAGCAAATCTAGCGTCAGAGTTCCCAGAAGGAGCTGCCACAGGCCTTAATGTCTGAGCATTAAGTGGCACGACTGAGATGGCTTGAGCCAGGACAAAGGGCCTAGACACCAAAAGAGAAGGAAGAGGAGTTCTTAAACAGAGCCTACTTCATAGAAGCTTGCAGAAATCATTCACCCACCAAATACGTATTCACTACTGGTATATCCTCCACAAAGCCTTTGCTGGTGAGGAGGTGAGGACTTCATGTATCTGCAACAGTCATCTCATCCTTCCACATCCTCGCTGATCCCTGGGACACCTGGGTGCCCTCAGGAGAGCGGCTTTGACCTCACCATTTCAGCAGCAACAATTCCTGGTCATCCTAAGCCTGTTTCTGTTCCAGATGCCAGAGGGCACAGAGATGGGGGAGTTGGTGTTTCCGGCTTTGGCCAAAGGAGTCATCACAGCTTTTCTTAGTAAGACCTTTAATTTACCTCAATAAAGAAGAGGCTAAACACTTAACCACTCTGGAGAGTGCCTTATTGACTGGAGGAGAGAGGATCTGGCCTGCCTGCCTGGGGCTGAGCAGGAACCAGGCCAAGCCTGTCCCAGGGGGCAGCTGCTAGGGTGTGAAGTACTTGAGAGCTTCCCTGAGCTCTGAGTTGCAGGCACTGTCCCAGAGTGGTGTCATGGCTTAAGGTGCTGCATTCCAGAGCTCATGATCCCCCTCTAAGACAGTGTGATTAGCAGAAAGGAGATGAAAGCAAGAGGAGTGGGTTTTAAACCCAGCTGTACCCAAACATGGGCAGCCACTTGTGGTCCCTGAGCCTCAGCTTTTGCATTTGTGCAATAAGGGTAAGGATAAAAATCCATTGGGGTTCATGGAGCTTATGTGAAGTAAATGTGTAAAACTGCTTTATAAATTATGAAACTCCACATGAATGGAAGGTGGATTTATTACTTGTTATTTTTATTATTGTAAATAAGATAGTGTTGCCCTTCAGCTTAAAACTCCTCCATGACTCCTCCTTGCCCTTGAAGTCAAGTGCATACCCCACATCCTGGCTAGATGCTCTGGTCCCTGCCTGCTGCCTTGACCTCCTTTTGTATACCACCACTGCCTGCCCACCCCCACCTCCCCAGCCACCAACCCACTGATATCAGCCTTGCAGGCTCTTTCATGTTCCTATTTCAGGACCCCCACACTTTCTGATCCCTCTGCCTGGGACACTGTTACTCAAGTGTGTTGCATGGCTGGATCCCTTACCTTTATATCTCAGCTTAAATGTCACCTCCTCAGAGAGGCTTTTCCTAGCAACACTCCCCTACCTGGCCCAGCACCTATCTCTGTTCTTTGATAGAAATAATCACAAGTCACAATGGATTCACTTACTTGTTTCTGGTCTTCCCTTGTAGAATGCTGGCACCATGAACAGGAGGATCTTGTCTGTTTTGTTCACTCACAGGTTGTTCCACAGTACCTGGCACATAGCAGGCACTCTGAATAATTGTTGAATGAATAGGTGAATGATTGGGCAGGGAAGCCTGATTGGTTTCCCAAATGACCCCTCTTCCTTACTCCTATTCTCTTTCTCTCCCAGATACGGAGACATGGTACCCAAGACAATCGCGGGAAAGATATTTGGCTCCATCTGCTCCCTGAGCGGTGTCCTGGTCATTGCCCTGCCAGTCCCTGTGATCGTATCCAACTTCAGCCGGATTTACCACCAGAATCAGAGAGCTGATAAACGCAGGGCACAGAAGGTAAGCCTCAGAACCAGTCAGAGAGTGGCAGCACAAGGCAGAGGCCTGGCCCTTTGCCCCCAAAGCTGTCACAGAGGCCTTGCCGGAAGTTCCTGGGGAAAGTACTGCACAGATGGCCTCTGGGTTTGGGAGGTAAAGCAGCTTCATATCCATTCCTACCTCCCAGGATCTTGCATTCCTGCCCACCAGCTATATATGGAATAGACTCAATTGTCCATAAGCTGATCATCTTCCTCCTGGATATTCTATGTAATTTCCTTAGGCCCTGGCTCCCCAGCCAAGACCTCTGAGTACCCTGGACTCCTCCCTCTTCCAGCCAAGCGCTTACTGGGGAACATAATCACTTTTCAGTAATCTATGCCAAACACTGACAAAAAATAAATTGGCTGAAAAGAAAAACTGCTTTAAAAGGAGAACATTCTGAGGCCCTGGAGTTCAGTGACAAACAGCATAACAGGCATTAGTCATCTCAGGGCACAGTAGGCTTAAGGTGCAGAACTGCAGGGGAGGATCAGGAGAACCCCCATTGGTCCTGAGAAGAGTTTGCCATGATGTCCAGTGTTCACTGCTTAGATATCAGGGCCAGGTGCATGCCCTCAGTCACCCACGGAATGAACACAAAGGTCTGAAGGCCATGGTACCCAGACAGAAGCCTCCTTTCCTGCCTGGCCCTCTGCCTTCTCTCTGAAACAATTCACCCACTCAGCCAGCTATCATTTGCCTGCAGTTTTAGGACATCTGGCTAATGAAGGTCCTTGGATAGTGAGGATCCTGACTTTTACTGGATTGCCATCAGGAAAGGGGAGCACCGAGGAGGGAGTTTTTCATTTCTCTTCTGATCTGGTCTAACCTGTGGCACCCCTTTAGCAGCATCTCAACCTCTGGGGGTATGGTTAGAGCCTTTCCAGGAATAAGGGACGGGGGGACTCCACTGAGAGAGTCATTTGTGGAGGCCTGAATTCTGTGCCCTTTTTTCTTCCATTCATTCATTCATTCATTCATCTCACACATGTTTACGGAGCAGCTACTACCTGTCAGGCCCTATGTACTGCATCTGGGGTGTCTCTTCACCACATGACCCCTGCTGCTAGCCTTCCACTTGCAGGGTAACCCCCAAGTAGCAGCACCTCCTCCATGTCAGAGGAAACCAGAAGTTCAGAACAGATCTGTACGGTATGTGCTGACTGAAACAAAGTCACAAAGTTCATGAAAGTTAGCTCTGAAGTGTATAATAATACACATATAATTATGCTTTATAATATAATATATATGATAAAATTAATTGAGTTGGCTCCTAGCTGCAGCATATCCCCTTTGTGTGTCCTTGTGGTCACCCCCACCTTGCCCTTCGGTCATGACTGTCCTGACCTGGGTCTGTAATGCTGCCGGCCTGCCTTAGGTTGATCCCTGGCCCAGTGCTGTCCTCTCCACACCCCCAGCTCCCATTTCCTACCTCTTCACCCAAGGTCAGGGTTTCCCCACCCCCACCCCCTGCTGGCCATCCCAGAAATAGAAGTCTTATCTTTTGCCTGTTCAAGTCTGCTGGCAAATGTGAACAATATCTAAGTACATTATGCAGTCCTAAAGAAAGGGGCAGGGAGAAACTGGGATAGTCTCCTTTCTCAATCAAGGAGCCTGAGACTAAAGACCAGGGGACCCCCAGAGGCTAGGGCTGGCCCGGGTTCTAGCTGAGCAGGTGAGGTTCAGGGGAATCCTCAGCTCCCACACCTGCTGTGGCTGTGCCCCAACTGCCCCAGGGAAGCTGCGCTCCTGCCATCTCCTGCAGCCACCTGCCCCTCTGTGCCCGCACCCTCCCCTACTTTTTTGAGCATCCCATCCACTGTTTCCCTGCAAATATAACAATGGCCATTTCCTCCAGGGACTTCACAAAGTTCATCCTGTGTGATTAAAATCCAGGACTCAGCTTTTGGTATATTCCAGCTACTAATGATAAGACTCCCTCCCCACTTCTCTCCAGCCACTAACGATGAGACTCCCTCCCCACTTCTCTCTGCCTCACTCTTCACTCTCCCTTTGAAATCAGAGTAAATATTTACTGTGTTTTCACCTCGCCTGGATACAGTCTCTCCTTAAGGTTGCTCAGCTCTGTCTCTTTCACCTTGAACTTCCTGTGAGAGGCAAAAAAAAAAAAAAAAGGAATACAAGATTACTGTCTTCTTCCCGCACTGAGTCTGTTACAGGGAGGCAAGGAAGGCAGGTCCAGGGATTCAGTGGGGGTCACAGAGGTGGGACAGGAAGGAGACAGGGAGGGTGAGGACAGGTCCAGCCCAGACCACATACTCAGGAGCTGTGTAGCCATGAGGGGAAGCTCCAGTTCTCATTTCTCAGGTGTGAAGGAAAGGCTCAAAAAGTTGTCATCCTTTCTGGTCATGACTGGTTTGCTTGGGATTATTTTTAAAATGACTCCATGACTATTTGCTTCAGTGACTAGGTTCTTAGAGACAAGTGAACTAGAGATCCAGTAAGGAAGCTCAGCAGTGAACAGAGATAGGGGACCATCTGGATGGAGGTTATTTTTTAATGGAAATTTTCATTGAGATGATTATAGATTCACATGTAATTTTAAGATAATCACAACCAGAGTATTGACACATACAATCCACCAATCCTTTTCAGACTTGCCCAGTTTTACTTGTAACTGTGTGTATGTGTCTGAGTGTGAATGTTACACACCTCTATTCCCATGCAGGGGCGTGCATCTACCACCTCAGTCAGGTACTAAACTCTTCCAACACCACAGGGACTCTTTCTACCCTACCTCCTACCTCCTACCCATCCCTAACCCCTGGCAACCATTTATCTGTCCTCTGTTTATAAAATGTTTTCATTTCAAAAATGTTATATAAAGGGACTCACACAGTAGGTAACTCTTGGAGACCGGCTTTCTTAATTTCCTGTAATTCCTGGAGATCTATATGGGTTGCATGCATCAATAGGTCATTCCTTTTTCTTGCTGAGCAGTACCCCATGGTATGGATGTATCGCTGTTGTTTAACCATTCACATGTTGAGAGTCATCTGGGGTGATTCCAGTTTTTGCTATTATAAATAAAGCTACTGTGGCCTTCATGTACAGGTTTTTGTGTGAACATAAGTTTAATTTTTCTGGGATAAATGCCTAAGACTGCAATTGCCCATGTCCTCTTTTGACTTTTCCATTTCTCCTATTTTCTTTTTCTGCCACTCCAGGGCAAGAGATACCAATACTCATGGCCCAAGGGCACTTGTTATCCAGACAGCCAGGAAGTGCTTAATCATGAAAGGCTTTCTGGGGATGACAGAATTCTTGAGAATAGACTGTGCCTGGCCTGCAGGGTAGGGTGAGTGAGCAGGCAGCATCTTCCTTCCAGACCCCTCCTCCAGCCCTGCAATTTCTACACCTGTTGGAAATGCGACTTCCTGGGCTTTGATCAAGTTTAGGGACTTGCTTGACAGGAGTTGAAATTTAGGGAAGGAGGAAGGGATGTTAGCGAAGGTAGCGTTTGGCTTGAAGGTTGAAAGACCTGAGTTGAAGTCTCATTAGTCCACTTCTTGGCCCTAGATCAGTCATTTCCCTGTAAGTCCCCCATTTCCTGTCTTTAAAATAGCCTAGATTATCTCTACATTCTCCTTAACTTTCACACTTACTTATGACCATGGAAGAGAGTGAAGCTGACCAGGCCACACAAGGACTGAGCCCGTTACAATGGCTTTATTAACCTGGATTTCTGACCAACTGTGTTGGATCTTCTTCTTTCCTGGGCCATCACAAGCCTTGCTTGAGTACCTGCTCAGTGTGAAGCTCTGTGCTATGAGGTGAAGATAAAAATATGCAAAGCCACAGACTCTGGCCCTCAGGAGTTCAAAGTCAAACTAAAAATCCTCACTAATTTCACATTCTGTAAATGGATTGCAAACCTCTTTACCCTGTGTTGGATATGATTAAATGATACCATGCATTGGATGTGACAATCTGCTGTTTTAATAGAGCCCAGGATGAGATAAGATTAAAAGAAGCAGCACAAAGAAAAACAGGAGAATCTTTCATCTCTAGAAAGTAATGAAGACACACCCCAGATACAAGAAAGTTCTGGCTGCAAGCAGTAAAATCAAATTACATACGGCTATAAGGTGCTTGATGCAACTGGATTTCCATATGTGTCTCTCAACACCCAGTACTCACCCAAAGAAGTGATGGCCATAGCCTCAGATGATGAGGAACTTGCTTGAAGCTAGACATCTAGCTGAGGGGGAGGGGGTGCTGAAGCAGGGTTCCCAGGAAGGAGAATTGTCTTGGACCTTAAATAAATGTTGTTTGCTCAGAGAGAAGAGGAATGATGGGGGACAGGGCTTACTTCCCTTCCATTCCCTCCCAGCTTCCCCTTTTCATTCTCTCCATCTAGACGGGTGTTCTTCCTCAGATTTATGAGCAGATATTCCAGGCTCAAGTCCCAGCCTCTTCCCCATATTTAGAAGCCAGGAAAGAGTTGAACTCTCCCTGCAAGGGCATGCTGGCCACTGCGGGACTTCCCAGGAAACAAGAGATAAAGGGTATCCTTTGTGCTTCTGTTGACATCCTGAATTCAAGACCCTCACCTCCTTTTAGTAGACGTGCCAGCCCAGCAAGACACTTAAAGAAGACACATCCCCATGTTGGGAAGAGGTGACAAAAAATGGAAATTGCCACAGTTTTCCAAGGATTCTTGTTCTTCTCAGAGTCCATGCTGAAGTTATATGTGGACTTTTCCAGAAATGTGGCAGGAGGAAGGACCCCTCTGCCTCAGAATGGACCTATGAGCCCATGTGACCTCTTCTGCTTCTAGTAGCAAGGGCCTAGGGCTGAGTCTAGATCTATAAGAACCCAAATCTCAAGCTGCAGTTTTTTAAACCAGCAGGAACCTTTCTACCTGTACCTTCTCCCTCTTTCCCAAAGTCTCTTTCCTCTTAGGCCTCCCTCTGTGGTTGAGCTGCTGTCATGGTGACACTGATTATGGTTATTAGGAGGAGAAGAGCAGCTGGCATGTGCGGTGTGTCTAGCCTCTCTTGCTGCCTCCGCAAGCAAGAGAGATGAGCTTGCCTTGAGACACCATGCAGCCTTCATGCAGGAGGGCAGCCAAAGGCGTCCCAGGCTGCAGCTGGGGATATTTTCAGTTGCCCTGCTTAAAGCCAAAATGGTATATGGAAATGTGTTCTGCCCTCCCCTCTCTCACATCAGGCCACTTTGTCACATGCACATGTACCGCACTTATTCCCATGGGCATGTGTGACAAAATATATGCATGTTGACACATCCATGCATGAATACATTCCTACAGACATGCAATTGTAAATCCATGTATTAATTTAAAATTTACTAGTCACTGGGATGCATTAATAAACAAAACAAAAACTCCTGCCCTCAGGGAGAGTGTATATTCTAGGGGAGAGACAGTAGCAAGATAAATATATAAAGCATAGTACTTCTTTAGTAATAAGTGCTAAGGATAAAAAGGGGAAGGAGTTAAGAAGTACTGAGGGGGTATGCACACTCCTTGCTTTTCTCTTAATTAACTGACCCTTTGGCACCTGCTCTAAGCAGGGAACTGCACTCGACCCTAGGGAGAATCAGGAGAGCTATAATATAGGAACCTTTAAAGAGTTTGCAGTCTGGATAGAGATGAGAAAGGCTGAGCAGATAAAGGTCATGAAACTTTTGGAAGGACGGAAGACTTTAACAGTGGTATTTCTCCTGCCAGGATTATACCCAGGCTGGAGAGAGAATGGAAACCCTTAGGAACTCTGACCATGAGCAAGCTGCCCAGAGTGGGCACACAGCATCTCAGCTGGGTCCCGAGACCTGTAGGCAGATCGTGAGACCTGAAAGAAGCAGTTTCCTCCCCTTCCTTACATCACCCAGGAACCAGCCTCACTGGGATAGCCTGCTGCCACTGGCTTTGCCTGGCTTCCTGTCCTTTTGTCTCTGACCCCTCACTGTTATTATCTCTGCCTATCACAGAAGGCCCGCCTCGCCAGGATCCGCGTGGCCAAAACAGGCAGCTCTAACGCCTATCTGCACAGCAAGCGCAATGGACTCCTCAATGAGGCGCTGGAGCTGATGGTAAGTGCACAGAGGCCCCGGGCTGGGGAAGATGGAGAGGGAGTTAGGCTGGCTTCCTCTTACTAGGGGTCCAGCACTCCCACACCAAAGCCCTAGTGTGAACCCTGAGAAGGATGCAGTTCTAGACTCTCCCTAGGTGCTGCCTGCTCCACATACCTCTCCTGTGGGATTATCACCGCTACACCTCAACCAGCTTTAGACAAAGGGCCCCCAGTGCAAACACTAGCATGTTCTACAGTGACCCTAAAATTTGGTTCATCCAGACTTTTCTGGTGCCCTACTAGCTTCTGTGGAGAAACAGAAAAGACCAAGAGGAAGAGCCACTAGCTTTATACTCAGTCTCCCTTTTTTCCTTACTAGGGCACCCCAGAAGAGGAGCACATGGGCAAGACCTCCTCACTAATTGAGAGCCAGCACCACCACCTGCTGCACTGCCTGGAAAAAACCACTGTGAGTCCTAGCCCGCTGCCACCTTTCTCATCCCTGACCCCCCAACCCTTTTGGAGGGTCAGAACTCACAGTGAAAACACTGTGCTTTCATCCTCACCTGGGCCCATGCTTCAGGCACTGATGTCTGTCCCCTTTGGATCAAAAAAGGAGTGATTAGATCGCTCTCAGACCTCGGGAGGAAGGCCCAGGACTGGGGCAAAGCCACCAGGGTGAGGAGGCCAGCTCTGTCCTGCAGCAGCCTAAAGGTGGTAATTATCCCCAGACTTTCCGCACACCTCTACACCAGTCCCCATGACCCACTGATTGGTTATGAGGGCTAAGGGCTCTGCCTATCAGTATCTCAGTCCTGATAGGCATCACTCTTCCAAACTAGGGCTGAATTTATATTAGATTGCTCTAAGACAGTAGAGAAGAATGGCAGGTTTTGTCTGATCCCTGAGCTTCAGTTGATGAATTTGTGGGTCCCTTTGTCCCTACATTCCTTTTAGAACAGGAGACAGTAAATGAAGGAGGCTGTGCATATATTTGTCTAGCCAGGATTTTATCAGTACCACCCCCTCCCCCACCTTAGTCACTCAGCAATTCCCAGGGAGCTCAGATTCTGAAAGGCTTATTATTGAAATAGTTTAGGGTGCCATAGCTGGAATGTGGAATGATGCTTGTGCCTCACCAGCAGACCAAAAGGAAGGGCAGTGGGGCCATCCCTAGACCCTTGGCAGAAAGTGTTAGGAATAGTGTGGGGGCAGGGGTCTGGGGGATAGGCAGGATAGACAACCAGAGAGACAACATAAAACCCTTTCTCGGCCCTCCCTCCCCAAAGAGCCTACAGTCAGGACTCAGCACACTAAGGAAGGAGCTTTCCAATTCTGATATTATTCCACATCCCAGCCTCCCAGATGCAGGAGAATAGATGTTACATGACCCTTAATATAAGCCAAAAGTGGATACTGTGGATGGTAGCAGAACCCAATGAGGACTTCCAAAATGGAAAGGTACCCCGGAAGCCCTAGTTTCCAGGAGCTAGCAAATATTTCTTAGTGTCAAGAACTACGTATGTGTACCTAGAATTTGTCTTAAAGACTCAGAGCTTGCCAAAGGGATAGGCCTGGACCTAACTGCCCTTTCCAAGTTGCATGTGCGAGGTGGAATGTGTAAATTGAAAGGATATGGGTGAGAATGTTTGGGTTTGAAGTGCTGGAATGTTGGCATTGAAAAAATGAGACTTTGGGATCAAGGAATGGAATGCTGGCACTAAAGGGGCGGAATGCTGAATTTGAGGGAAAGAATGTTGGATTGTGGGGGTGGGGTATTGCTATTAGATGGAATGCTGAATTTCAGGGGAGGAATGTTGTACTCAAGGGTGGAATATTGGGATAGAAGAGGCAGGTGTCAGGGTGGAAGGAATGAATGTTGGGTTTGAGCAGGAATGTGTTGGAGCAAAGGAGGGAGAATGCTGGGAGCAAGGGATGGAATGTTGGACTCAAAGCGGGGAATGCTGGGATTGAGTGTGAATGTCAAAACTGAGCTTGGGAATGCTGGACTGTACAATCAATGGTGTTTCTATCTTCTGTTGGCATGTTGTCTTGTAGGGGTTGTCCTATCTTGTGGATGATCCCCTGTTATCTGTACGAACCTCCACCATCAAGGTATAACTTTTTACAAATTCAATTGATGTTTCTCTCTCTGATTCCTCTGAGTCTGTGGATCCTCCTCTTTTTACCCCCTAGTCTGGTTCTCTGCATGTGCTGTTGATTCTTTTGGGGCTTATCCTACCTCTGCTGCCATACCCAGTACCAGCTCAGGCTCAGTTTTCTGTGCTGAACTATCCAACTGCCTTTCTGATTGCCTCTCCTGACCTCCCTAGGGGCTTGGAGGGGGTGGTGGAACATGGCACCGATGTTTGTATCCTGTGAGTGTCCGTGCGCCACATCCGTTGGTGCCACCTCCCCAGCTCCATGGGGACCCTGGCATTGGCTGTCAGGGCTGGCCTCTCTCTGAACTCTGTTCTCATGCCACTTCTCCGCAGACTTTCACCTCACCCTGGCAGCCTTGGCCGGACCATTACTGCCATAGATGTTTAGTCACCTTGGTCAAACAGCCCTTTTTTAGTTATCCCGCATTCAACTTTACCCCATCTTGATGGCCTCCAGTCAGGAGGCTGTTAGCTTACACTTGCCTCAGGGAATCCTGTGCCTCCAGATATATTAAGGATCTATGTCCCATAATCAGGTTAAAAAAATAATAATAATTAAAAGGAATCATAACCCTAACAGTTGGACTCCATTGGCCTTCAAGAACAAAGCTTTCCCAATGCTGAGATTAATTCAGTGCCTTTTAAAGCTTATGTCTAATGCTTACCCAAGGCTCATAAGGATGCCCCCCGTTACATCGGGAAGAGACAACCTAGCACACCCATGACCTGTAGTCAGTAATTCCTTATCTGCCACCCCCAGGAGGTCCTGTGCAAAGCCTGCAAAGTAAGTGAAGTCTTTGCTTTTAGCTCTGATGATGCCACTAAATCTCTCCGTGTTCTCTGCGTCCCTTCAGCTCAAAGCTTTCGATGGAGTGGATGCCACACCACGATTGCACACCTGCAGTTCCCTCTCTTTGATCTGATGGCCAGGGCTGCCAGTAGGAATCTCTTTCTTCCTTCATTTGGTACCTGTGGGCCATCACCCCTCCTGGATGCTTATCTGTGCTCCAGGCAGCTGGGAGCCTTTCTCTCAAGACCCAGAACAGAGACAGGCAGCCATACTGAGCATTGGGGCTCATCCCCCACTGCCTAGCTCCTTTCCCTACCACTTCTCCTTCTGCTTCCCACAGAACCATGAGTTTATAGATGAGCAGATGTTTGAGCAGAACTGCATGGAGAGTTCAATGCAGAACTACCCATCCACAAGAAGTCCCTCCCTGTCCAGCCACCCGGGCCTCACCACCACCTGCTGCTCCCGTCGTAGTAAGAAAACCACACATCTGCCCAATTCCAACCTGCCAGCCACTCGCCTGCGCAGCATGCAAGAGCTCAGCACGATCCACATCCAGGGCAGTGAGCAGCCCTCCCTCACTACCAGGTGGGTGGCTTCCAACACCATCACTCCCAGAGGCTGGAGTGGTCCATTCACAGAAGGAAACAACCTCAGCATACAAGAACCTCAAGAGTTCTCTAGCCCCCGCACCTTCTTATCTAATGCATGAATATGAGTCCCTCCACCTTCCCTTCCAACCACCTTCCTTCTCCTCCTTGCAAGTTAACCCAAAGGCCCTTCCTGTGTCTTAATGGATACTATGGTAGGTTTAGGCCAATGTGGGGTTAGATACCAGAAAAATAGCTAAAACAAATCCAAAAATGACCTACTCCAATGAAAAGAATGGACTGATTTCTCAAGGGAATAATTTTCACAATTGTGTTAGACGTAGCTTATTCCAGGCTGATTCTGAACCACAGACTGACTTTTCCCTCCTTTCTCTGCTTATATTTCGGCCACTTTCCACTACTTTCAGTGAGTTGCAAAGAATTCAGGGAAAGCAAAAGTCAAATGCCACAAATGATAGGTAAACAATCCACTGGAGGGAAAAATGTGTCCCCTGAATTCTAAAGACCAATACACATGGCTTGGCAAAACTGTTAGTAGTTTAGGAATAATAGTTAGAATGGATAATTACAGGCTGATTACCAAAAGCAGAAACAGAGGGAAACCACAACTCCTCCTAGTTACTATGAGCTAGAAATACAGGGGCTCACGGAAACTTCGGAACACTAGCAAGAGGAACCGTCATCAACTCACTCTTTTTTTTGTCCCAGTCGCTCCAGCCTTAACTTGAAAGCAGACGACGGACTGAGACCAAACTGCAGAACATCCCAGATTACCACGGCTATCATCAGCATCCCCACCCCCCCAGCGCTAACCCCAGAGGGGGAGAATCGGCCAGCCCCTGCCAGCCCAGGCCCCAACACGAACATTCCTTCCATAGCCAGCAATGTTGTCAAGGTCTCCGCCTTGTAAAACCACTGGACAGAGGGCCAGTGTGGGTAGTGGGAGTGAAGGGGGCTGGCATGTTGGAGGGTGGCCCCTGCAACCACCCCCTCCCCTTTTCCCCACTATTTCTGCCTGCCCCTGTATATCCCTAGCACTGAGACTTGTGCCTGGAGGGAGAAAGAGGCAGCCAAGGGGCACCTGGGCTCACTGCTGCTCGCATGGACATAGCCCTGTGACACTGCATTGCACTGGGGCCAGAGGAAGGGAGGGTGGGCAGGGCAGGGTCTGGGGCAGTGGGGGTAGGGCTAAGAGTCAGCACAGGCCTGGAGAGGGGAGCCTCAGACCAAATACCAGTTGTTTCTGGAGGTCCCAGTGAGGAAAATACAAGACCAAGAGCAGCACAGAGGACGAGTTGTCACATGAAAAACAGGAAGAAAATATAACACTGTGTATTTAAGCACCTTTTTCAAGGCTCTTAATGGATAATATTTATTCATGGGAAAAGGTGGAAAACAAAAACACCAATGGATTTTTGTGAAATGTTTTTCTCCATGGACCCAGTACCTTTGAACCAAAACAATGCATTTTGTGAAGTTTTTTTTCTTTTATAGCAAGCTTTTAGGCTGTCAGTTATTGCTGAGTTCTCTTAACATGTCCCCAAGTGGGTGAGGTCAACTGAGCCTGGGCTCCCACTGCCCAGCTGACCTGCACAGAGCTGCCAGGCGGCCACACAGCAGCACTTACCCTCTGTCTGTCCCTGTCTCCTTTGTGTCTGTACCTCTCTGCTTCACCCCCTGCCTGTTTTTTCTGTGTCTAGCCATCTGTCTCTACATGGACCCCAGTGATCCTGAAACATGTTAGTAAAACCTCCTCCACTACCAAGCACCTGCAGACTTGTGCCTGAGAATTACATTTGGGTGGATGCAGAAGAGAAACAATGAAGCAAAAACGTGAGACCTCGGGGATGCGGGAAGCATACTTGATAGAACCAAGTGCTTACCTTGTGGTTGGAAGCACTAGTGTTTGCAGTTTCCATTTCTGGGAAAGAAAGGGAGTGGTCAGATTTATCATCCTGGGATCTTGAAAAAGGAAATTGCCAATACCTGAGAGATGCAGTAACTGTGGTGTGTGCCAGCAAGGAGAGAACAGAAGAACCCCGGGCTGGCAGGATCCAGCATAGAGCCCATCCAGAGCTCTGCCAAGGGGCCCCAGGAGCAGCTTCCTGCAGAGAGGGCAGCGGTATGGGGACCAAGCTTCTGACTTATGTCATGCCTGAGGCTGCAGAAGGTTAAACTTCTGTGCCTCACAAGGATGCTCCAGAGTGTGAAAGCAAGTAAGAGATTCTAGATTATTCTTACCTGGTCTGAAAGATGCATTGAGGTCTGGAGTGTCTTCCGGCCTGATATCCCTTAAGATAACTGAAATGGCGAAGAAACCTGATCATCTCCGTGCAAGTGAGGGACTTAGTATTATTTATAGAGAACCTGGACAGCATCTCTGTTCAAGTGGTTTGCACCCTAGTCCGGCTGAGAACAGCATTTCTGGAATCCTATCCATTTTCACTACTTATAGCAGAGCAGGTGGGCCTCAGGGTCAGTGATAAGCCCCATCCTGCCCTCCGCAATCCCCAGCTCCCTATTGCAATCTCTCTAGCCTAGGCTCTGAGATACAAGAGCAACTCAGGAGCTCCTTATCCAGTCTACTGCTTAGCAGTTAGCTGTTTAATTGTAGCCCAAGAATTTGTCTGCCCACCAAAGCCATCTAGTCAAGTTTTACTAGCCAGGAAAACACCTTCAGTGGGCTTCCCTGTGACCCCAGCTCTATTGATTCTGTAGAAAGGAAAGTCATAGGGCTATGAGGTGGCACCTAATCTAAAGGTGAGCAGAAGGGCAGAGGAGAGAGAGCCTTTACCTTTATGCTATTCTCCTTATGCTATCCTCATTGACCACTGTCTGAGTCCTTTCTCTTGGGTCTGGCCTCAGGATTTCCCTTTAACATGAGAAGGAGGTGGTTCTGGCCCTCTGAGCTTATGGTATGAGTAGGCAGAAAAGCTTTACAACTACAGAGGAAGACTGCAACACTCCAGAGAGTAAGTACTTAAACCAATTCATTTCATAGACTTATCTCTGGAGGGAAAGCAGAAGACTGGGCTGGACTCCATTAGAGGGCAGGCAAATGACTAGAAAAGGAATTTTTCTTTTGTAAGAGTAGGTAATGGAACACAGGAATGTCTAAGCACCTAAAGTTTACAACATAAGAACTGAGCAGGGTAAGGGATAAAGAGGCAAATAGAAACAGGGTTGAATATATATGCAAACTGCCTGTGTTAAGAACAGGGCTTCACAGGATTAGAATAATGACTGATCTAACCCAGGACCTCTTTGATAGTGTACCAAGGGAGAATACTAGTGGCTCCCACAAAATGAACAGATTATAAAAATTATGTCCCAAATAATTTTTTTTTACACTGATGAACTGAATGTTTTATATTCCTTCAATTTCATTTCCAAATACCACATTATGCCAGTTCCCAAAAGACTGTTAAACTATCCCCTTCATCTTCACCCTATAATACAGCCCTAGCCAGGGATAAGAGACTTCACTTACCTCTGGTCCAAAGGAAGATTTCAGTCCAGGGAAATGGCTCATCTACACATCAGAATACAGCCAAATGACACTGCTAAAAGGCATTTGTATGTAAATAAAAGGGCCAAAGTGTGTTGAATCAGTTTAATAAGTGTAATTCATTGGCCAGGGATATAAGAACCAGGATATCAGGGCTTTCCAAGGGCAGTGACTTTCTAGCGCAACAACTCTTGAGCTTTCATAGTTCATGAACCACTTCAGTGAAACAGAAGATTCCCAAAACCACCTATCCCATTCAGTCCCACTCAGCATTAGGGAGGGCTAAAAAAAAAAACTAACAGGCTACATTCAAATGAATTAAAACTTAGAAAACTTAGTATTAAGAGTATATCAGAACTAGAAGAGATTAAAGAATATCTAATTCATTTTACAGTATAGAAAGTGGAAGCCCAGAAATTAAATGACTTGCTCAGGGTCATTCAGTCATTTAATGAGAGCTGGGACCAGAACACAAGTCCCTTCATTATTATTCTAATGCTTTTTCCACTATACCCACTGCCTCTCAGAGCAATGATGGTTCAGAAAAGACCCATCAAAGAATACATGCTATAACCAGAGACATAGTCTTGATGTCAATACTACTTGGACACAGCCCTTGGAAACCACCTGACTGTACTAATACAGACCATCACTCCCTGGGTAGAACCAGCTATGGACTACCAATTCTGTCAAAATTAGGTAAACAAGTGAAGTCAGGTTTTTTTCAGCAAATGCTCTCTTAATAAAGACAGGGTTAGGATGACATTTCAAAGCATACCTTCTATAGTCCTTTTGATCCTTACTGCAACCTTTAACGATAGTAAGTCAAGTAACTAAACCCTTGATTTACAGAGACGAAACAGGCAAGCAGCAGCTGAATGACTTATCACATGGCAAGTTAGTGGCAGAACTATAACTACAATCTAGGACTTAAGACATCTCGTCCCGGACATTTTCCTCCACGTGATGTTACATTACTCTAAATGTTGCTTATATCTTTAATACCTGGATTTCGGGGTGGTTAAGGGGAAAAAGTATTCCATTCAGAACCACCCTGAACTAGGACCTATAGAAGCAAACTCTGAACTATTTCTCCTTCATAGACAATTTTCGTAATTATTGTCAAGCCCAGGACCAACTGCACAGAATCCTGTTCGAAAGACCAGATATTCTCAGTAACAGTGGAAACATTAGTTTATAATCACACAGGAATATAAGTCCAGCAAGCAGAAAAGTGAAATTAGGAAAAACAGAATTTGAACAGAAAGTGGACAGTTAATGCCAATCCATGATTAACAAAAAGTCAACTCATGGATTTCCACATTATGATTCCTGAAGTTCAGGATCGTATCACTTGTTACAACATAAGCAGGGAAAGTGTACATTGAAACATGTACCTAGATTTCTTTCCTTGTCTTTTAACTTTGCAGAGGTAGTGGTTGAAATTGACTTAAACCTAGATTTTGAGGTTATTAATCAATTCTAGTGGTCCAGACTCCCTCACTTAAATTACCACATACCTACAAGACAGAAAGATCCCAATGTTTTTAATCCAAGGCAATTATTAGTTTCCCTTCTAAACTAAGTGGCATGGTAACCAGATGAAAAGTAACCTGAAATATTTTTGTTTCCCCTTTCCAATTTCTTTATGAAATGTCACATTTGCATAGCTTTAAAATGACTGGATGAAGGAAGATTGTTAGGACCTGTGACTCTTAGAACCCAAACAGCATCATAAAAAGCGTCATTAGAATTAAGAGAAAGTGGCTATCAGAAAAAGAAACAGCTTTAAAGGAATTCCTTTGGAGTCTTGTTTTCTATTAGGAATGTTCTGTTTTTCTCATTAAGTGTGGAAATGACATCTTAAGAGGTTACTTGACTACATTGGATGATGTCACTAACCAGCATAGGGCACTACTGACTCAAGTCCTGGGGGCCTCCTTGGACCAATAGACTATTTTACAAACCTGGGAGGTGGGAGGGATGATATTTTTGATAATCAAACATTCCAATGTACTGTTTTCCTTAGAGGTCAAACCCGCCCCCAATTAATGTTATTGTGAAAAACATCAAGTGTGTTCTATTTTCGTTTAATAATTGGCTTTGCTTACTAACATCACAATGGCAAAGAAGAAATACTGTATAAAACTGCAGGAAGATAAACATGTGAAAAAACTTTCTATGGAAAAAAAAAACCTCTGGGTTTCCTGTTGTCTTCTTTTGAAACTGTAGTGAATGTTAAATTGTATATCATTTACGGTATTGAGTCATGTGCCACTGCTGTACCTGATGTATCCGATCTGGATTAAACAACCATGTGCGACAAACCCTAAAATAATTATGAATGATTACTTTAAAACCTATCCTCCTGCTACAAATTAAGGTTACTGGAACGAAGAGAGGCTTTCCAGCTTGCCAGAGAAAAGTCACTACCTCAGAAGGGTGCTTAAAGGTTTAATGTGATCTTCCCCCACCACATTCTCTCAGTGGAAGCAACTCCTCTGTGACATCGAGGACAGTCTGTGCCTGCCAGTGTGCTTTAATCAGATATTTTCACCAACAGGGAAGGCATTTGACTGCCTTTGTCGACAGCTCTATTTTGAGGACCAGCCCTGTATTACTCAAAGAAAATCTGCCTTTATGTATCAGTACTGGTTCTGCTGAGGATACACTGAGTATCTACTTCTTCATCTAAACCAAGTTCTCAAACTAAAAAGAAAACTCAAAATTAAATGCTGGATAGGGTATAGCAGAAAGCTTGGGACCTAGATGATGGAGGCTCAAGTTAAGTTCTACTACTTACCTGTATGACTTCACCTCAGTCACTTTTCTTTGGCTTCAATTTGTCCTCATATTAAAAACAGGGGGAATCGTATTAGGTATCTTAAAAATCCACTCTACCCTTAATAATTCTTGTATAGGTAATGACAGCAACAGCCATGTTCATATTTCACCATAATGTGGCAACAGTAATGGAAATCCTTTAAATTTCCCCACAACCAGATTCCAATCAATGAAAACTGTAATAAAAATAGAACATTAAGGACAATGCATGATGCCCAAAAGGCTCTAGAAGTTGGCTATGAAATTCAATTCAACCACGATGCTCATATCCTTAACCACTAGGTGTCACTACTGATTCATAGCTCAAATAATCTGGGGACAAGTACCCGGAAACCAGATATGCATTGAGCAAAACATGCTTTTTCATTAAAAAGCGCTAGATGTTAACTGGGATGTAACTGTGCTTGTGCAGAGGCATAAAACAACATATTCTGCTACAACAAGAAAATAACCTTGTGATGGAGTTCCATTGTCAGATACAACTTTTGAAAATATAATTTCCATTTTCAAGAGTAACATAGGTTTATCTACATTTAGGAGGAAAAATACTCTAAAACTTCCAACTACTCCCTTGTCTCATGAGCTAATCAACAAGTACTATAATTACTGTTCAATTATTTTTAGTATTCAGGGGCTGAAGTTTACATTTAAAACATGTTTTTAAAAGGTTAGTAGGTATTACTGTAAAACTGAAGCTACTTTAAAAAATATTAACTACTCAAAAATAACATATTCTAAATCAGACTTAACCAAAGCAACAGGTTTCCCAAGGATTTCTCAACATTAATACTGTCAGTCTAATATAAGTTAAAGCTTAACTTGAACAGTTAAAAGTATTGATTTAGTGTTCTAGAATTGACATTAAACCAACTCACACTAGCTCTCATCCAAATTATCTGAATTTATAAAGGCTCTCTGAATTCATAAAATGATTTTCTCTAACTAGGAAGTATTCTCTTATTAGTCATATATTAATTAAATCTTACAACTGGGACATTTAAAATCATCTAGTCCAACTCCCTTATTTTATTGTGAAAACTGGACCCTGAGAGCCTGATTGACTGGTACAAAGTAAAAAAGTGGGTAGTCGCAGTCACAAGAAGACAGGCGCCCTTTCCACTATACCACAAAGCATTTCCAAGTGAATGTGCCTAAAAACTATCTGTGGTTCCTAACAGATTATGGGGACAATGCACTTAGACTGACAATTCCAACTAAAAGTCCTTTCCACACAAAGATAATCACACACAAAGAACAGAAGTTTCTTTTCATAGCCTCACTCTAACTGCATCCCTTATTTGGGAAAACAATGGGTGAAATTTTCCTAGCAAACAAAAATGGAAAATGCACAAATTAGTATTTTTATGTTATGTGTGTGTACATCTCCAGCTTTTATATTTAAAAAAAAGCAAACAGAAAATAAGACAAACCTAGGCGGAAATCCAATTAATTCCAAGATTAATGGGTAACCTAATGCAGCAGTATCCTCAATAAAATCCCCTAGCAATGGCCAATTGTGAACTTGGCTGTATTGTTGGGGAAAGGATAGAGAAAAAAAAAGAGTTAAGTTCAGTTATGTAGCAATGACAGACCTTATTTAAATGTGTTGAAGTCTCTACTTCTTAATGACATACTGGACCTAATTATGGATTTGTTATTAACAGTGTTAATTCATTCTAACCTGGCAGTACATGTACAGTACTGATATGTATAAAGTCTCCCATTGCCCGACTCAAATGACAGGAATCCAAGTTAAACTGGAGTTTAGGATAGTGTTCTGTGAGTCTTGGACAGTAAACAATGGATGTGGATGTTTGTTCACAGCCTAGGAGGAAAATGTTTATACTGCCTAGACAACTATGTGCACATACTTGTAAAGGGCTTTCCTTTTAAAAAGTATACATCACTATACATAAGGAGTTCTCTCAATACAAATCCAGTTCACAGAAAGGTTTGGGAACCAAACACATAACCATGAGAGACTGCCACAGAGATGAAAGAATGTGCACGGTAGTCCCCCTTTTCCATGGGGGATACATTTCAAGAACCTCCCTCATTCAGTGGATGCCTAAAACCACAGATGGTACTAAATTTGTTTTTTCCTATACATACCTATGACAAATTTATAAATTAGGTAAAGTACTGTACTCACCCTTCTTGTGATGATGTGAGATGATAAAATGCCTACATTATGAGATGAAGGGAGGTGAATAACATATGCAATGGGATGTAGTTGTTTGGCTATTACTGACCTGCTATGTTAGAAGACAGATTATCTGCTTCCAGACCATGGTTGACCATTGTAACAAACTGAGGATATGGAGGCACTGCTGTCAACTACCAGTTATTTTTCTAAATGATAATTTATAGATTTTCCCTCTCAGAAAAATGACTACTCCCCTTGGATCCTAGCACTAGAGGTTAAAACTGGGGGAAATTTTCTAGAAAACAAGGATACAATGTGGGAAGAGTTTGAACAGAAGTTCCAGCTTCTGCAAAAGATTTAAAACGAGTGACAACCTTACCTTAACCTACCAGCAGAGTAGGGCAGTTCTTAACCTGGGCTCCATAGATGGACTTCAGAGGGTCTATGAACCCCTTAAATTTATATATACAATTCCTGTTTACAGAAAAAGCAATTTTCTAGGATGGATCTGCAGATTGATTAGGTTTATAAAATGATCCAAGAACCAACAAAGTTTAGGAGCTGCTCCTTTTCCTGAGACAAAATTAAGACAGCCTGTACTGATCCTTAGCTATTTAAAGCGCAGAAAAAATATGGAAGACTTTCACAATGTTAAAAATAAAAGGCATTCAATGATGAAAAATAAACATGTCAACACATTTGCTCTTTGTATTTTTACTGGTAGCATATAGCATCGAACCAATGCTTTAAAGTCTAAAGCAATATTTATTCCTTCCTGCCTAAACCTAAAAGGAAAACCAGGCTACAAATTTCTACAGGAACACCGTCTATGGAAATACAATCCAAGCCTTTTGTAAAGAACTCCACAGAATAAACAGTATTTTTCAAATGTCAGCTGTTTTATTTTTTTTAAGCAAGCAGTGGCATAGCCTTTTTTTGGGGAATGGCTTACAAAAATGGCATTCTGGGACCTTTAGCTCTGTATCTCCAATATTTTCTTTCAAGAATCTGATTCATGTAGTCTCTTAAAAAAAGATACTGTACCTGACCTAAATCAGGTTGTCAAAACAATCTGAAAAATGTGTCCCAGTGGAAAGCCTCAAGAACATTCAAGGTCCTCAAAAATGCCACTCCATGTCATTCCACTAGAAGTCAAGGAGGATATTATACAAAGGCATCACTTGCTGGTATTTCCGGATGGTCTGTGAAACAGCCTACAATCACTGGTTGCCACGCATCATTTCTTGTAGATAAATGGTATTCATGTGATAGGCCGCCATCCAACTTGGATGCCTTTGAGCATTGCAATAATACGACTGAGAGGCAGCAGCATAGTTTTCCTGCCATGCCCTGTAGTAAGCTCTCCAGTACTCCTCATAATTCTGATAGGTATCAGAAAAACTTGGGTGTGTTTCCCTATGGCAGTCATACCAACCATCCTCCTGGGGTTCTGACTGCAATTGATAAGAAGCTCGCCTGGGAAGGTTTCTCCGGCTCTGCTTAGCTCTCTGGCTAGCGCCCTCTTCATGCCTTGCCTTTATTTGGATTTCAGTTGATTCCTGATACTCAAGATTAGGGGTGTCATTTCCATTCAGAGGCTGTTCCAGAGAAATATGGCCATCCATAAGAGCCGATACCGAGTCTTTCGGCTGAGTGTCAGAAGAACCCTCCAAGTATGACTTATTTCCTTTGTTCTGGGAGGAAGTCCTTGAGCTATAAGAATCACTGTCACTCTCAGAGTCGCCAGACTGACTACTTGCCAATATCTGCACACTCTCTTCAGTAACTCTATTTCTCACAAAACCGTTTTGAGGGTTCACAGTCTGCTCCCCCGCACCTATGTAGTGCCTGATAATTTCCACAGGTTTCTCTAACCCCTCCTTAATATAGTGTTCATAGTCTTCTACCAATTCCGCAAAAGTCAAAGTGCAAGGCAGATGGAATTTAAAGGAAGACAGACAAGGAATTTTGGGGAGTGACACAGGTAAAGCTTCTTTGACCTGGTGATGACTGTTGGTAGAGTTTTCAACCGAAGTCTGAACAGGATTCTTCATTTGCTCTTCCAATTGTATGGCAGAGCTCAGTTCTTTTGGTGGTATTTTTTCTGTGACTCCACACTCTGAGTGACTTTTCACAGGAAGCTTCTGTTTGGTATTATGCTTTGATTTGACTGATAGTGCAGATACAGAAGTATTTCCAGATGAAGCAATGTGGTTACCATGAGCTTTCTGATTTTGAAAGGTTCTCTCTATTTTTTGAATTTGGGGCTGGGTAGGTACACTTGCTAAGCCATATGAATGCATAGCAGCTTTAACTTCCACATCCCAGTCCAAACATTCTTCCATCAGACCAGGAGGAATGGGATCTACATAAAAGGAATAAAAAGTATTAGAATTCTTGAGCTGCTCTAGACCAGCATTTTCTGAGTGATTTCATGAAGTTTCCATGGTCAAATAAGGTCAAGAAACAAAATATATACTAATAATATACTGAGAAGCTTAAGAAACATTTTAAGAAACCTAAGCAAAAAGGAAAAAAAAGACCTAAGTAATCCTTGCAGCAAAGAAATTTGACCAAAAATACTCAAGACTGATCCCATACTCACAAGCAATATCCCCCCACCCGACCCCTCTCCTCCAGCCTGACTGGGAAAGAGTGAACTAGAGACAAGGTCCAAGTCTGCAAATATTCTCCCACCTTCTCTCCTCTCCCTTTCCCCAATCCCTCCCCTTTATCTCACTATTAGAGACAGCAAAACAAGACATTTGAAAATGGACTGTGCTCTCCACAGCTTATCAACTGAAAATATTATAACTGTAACCCTGTACCCAAGTAAATCTGCCACCATACACCCCAACAGAAAGAAACCACTGTCCTCAACAGTGAAGAAAAAAACTTTCTTCAGGGGAAAAAGCTAGAGGGCTGAAAAGATTTGTGGTAGCAATGGCACTTGTAAGTTTTAAAAATGTTGCCGCCTCTAACTCTCCAAATTTCCAATTCTATCCAGGTCTTGACAATTTGCTTCCACCTCACACTCACACCTTTTCTAACCGTAGTCAGTTTTCCCCTCAGGCAGACAAAGCATACTGACCCTTGCTTTACAAACATCTCGCCTGTGTTGCATTGGCACTCCACAGATATGCACCCCTCTACTCATCCATTGGATCCACTCTCTGCAGCTGGGCTTGTGATTCTCTGCTGAACAGACCCTCTGACTAAAAATTTGATTCCTATTAAGGAGATCCCACTTGCTTACCTAGACGTATGGTACAGGCCCATTTCCTTCCTACCCTGCCCTAGGCAACTCATCTGAACAGTCTGTGTCACACAAGTTCCCAGTCCAATATCTTAACACCATGAATTTTTCCGGTTATTTCCCATTTTCCCATTATTTCAAGGCTCTGCAAACATAAAGATCCAAATATGCCATTTTCCAGTATCCAAAGGCAAATTTCATTTTTATCACTAAATGCTATGACACAGAATCCTACCAGAAGTCTTAATCCTCTTCCACCTATTTTCAATTTTTTTTCCACATTATAATCATCTGACAGATCACCAACAGACTCATACATAGAATTAACACAATATAGTCTTAGAAATGGTAAGAGTACCTACAGACCATCTACTCTAAAAACAAGTATTTTGTCAATCAGGACATAAGCTTAGAGCAATTAAAGATATCTATAAAAAGAATACAAAATGAGGTAATACAAAATCAGAACTACTGAAATCCACAAGACTCCAAGACTTGTGCTTTTATCTAGCTTTGTAAAAATCCCTGAAGGAGTTAAATTCATAATATTCACTGTTATATTTATTCAGTAACTACACACCCCATGTTCTGAAAGGTCATGTATGCACTATAAAAATATTCATATACATATAAACACACACTAAAATACATAGATTAACATATATAGCAAATAAACTGGATATAGACTAAAGATGGCAGTGTGAGAGGTGAGACAGAAACCTCCCCCTAGAGCCACATAAAATATGAAAATAAAACAAATACATCAAATCCTGAAAGAGCAACAGGAAAGAAGGCTGCGGCACACCATCTACACCTGGGGAAACCAGCAGACATCAAGGAAAAGGGTAAAGTACCAAAGCCGTGATCTGGAGGGACCCAAGCCCTTCCCCCACCTCAGCTCACTGGAGGGAGGAAGAGAAATGGAGTGAGGAGGGGGTGGAGGCCTAGGACTGCTGAACACCCACCCCTGGAGATCTGCTCTGGAAGCACGAACCTACATTACATGGTGCTCTGGAGATTAGTGGGGTTGGAAAGCTAAGACAGAATACTTGGAGAGACTGAGATTCCAGCAGCTTGTGGAAAACAGGGATCCACACCCAGCCACTCTGAGATAAAAGAAAGGCGGGCAGTCTGACAGACTTCCTAACAGGAGGAGGGCTGCTAAAAGGGCAAGGATTGCATAGAGCTTGCTGCTCAGGAGAAAGGACAGGTGGACAAAACTGTCCAGGCGCACACTGCCCAGCAGGTTGGAAACTTCTAGGAGCTTCAGGCACTCCATTCCCCTGGCTGGCTATGCAGCTCCAAGGCCCCCCACCATGATACACAGCCTGCTGCACCTTCCTCCCAGCCGGCAGCAGCTTGCAAATCAGCTGCCCCCGCCATTGCACCAGGCCAGCCAGAGGGCAGCCCTGCCTACAGGCAGCTACAAGTGCAGAAGCATACAGGCTTCCCCACTGGCCCTGGCAGTAGAGCCAGGCACTGCAGCTGGGAAGCAGAAAGGACCTCTTTACTCCCAAAAGGCACCAACACCACTCTCCTGCAATCCCCACCATCACTCCAGGGGCTGAGCAGCTCCAGAGAGTAGAGCTTCTGGGCAATAGAGGGTGCCAGCTACAAATATGAAAGGTCAAAGGAACCTGGTTCAAACCAAAATCTCACAAACACCAGAAAGAGGGCCAAGTGAAACTGAACTCATCAATATTCTTGAAAGAGATTTCAAAATAAAAATCATGAACATGCTCACAGAGATACAGAAAAATATTCAGTAACTCAGGAAGGAATTCAGGAATGAGATACAGATGTTCAAAAATACAGTACCTGAAATGAAACATACAATGGAGGGATTTAAAAGCAGATTAGATGAAGTAAATGAAATAGATGAAGTAAATGAAACAGAAATTAGAGAGGAGGAATACAAAGAAGCTGAGGCAGGGAGAGAAAAAAGGACCTCTAGGAATGAAAGAATATTGAGAGAACTGTGGCCAATCCAAACAGAACAATATTTGCATTATGGGGTACCAGAAGAAGAGAGAGAAAAAGAATAGAAATTGTCTTTGAGGAGTTAAATGCTGAAAACTTCCCCAATCTGGGGAAGGAGATAGTCTCTCAGGCCATGGAGGTGCACAGATCTCCCAAAACAAGGGACCAAAGGAAGACAACATCAAGACATATAATAATTGAAATGGCAAAGATCAAGGATAAGGAAAGACTATTAAAAACAGACAGAGAGAGAAATAAGATCACATACAAAGGAAAACCCATCAGGCTATCATCAGACTTCTCAACAGAAACCTTACACGCCAGACGGGAGTGGCATGATATATTGACTGCACTGAAGGAGAAGGGCTTCAAATTAAGAATACTAGACCCAGCAAGACTATCATTTAAATCTGAAGGAGGGATTAAACAATTTCCAGATTAATTTACCTCCCACAAACCGTTTCTACAGTGCCCTTCAGAGGGACTGCTATAGAGGGACTGCTAAGGCTAAATAGCTATCACCAGAAGAATAAAACCACAGTAGAGAAAGTAGACCAATTAATTACTAAGCAGATGCAAAATCAAATCAACCACCCCAAAGTCAGTCATGGGATAGACAAAGAAAACAGAATATGATACCTAATATATAAAGAATGGAGGAGGAAGAAAAAGGAGGAAAAAAAAAAGAACCTCTAGATTGTGTTTGCAATAGTATACTAAGTGAGTTAAATTAGATTGTTAAATAGTAAGGAACTTACCCTTGAAACTTTGGTAGCCACGAATCTGAAGCCTGCAATGGCAATAAGTACATACCTATCGATAATCACCCTAAATGTAAACAGTCTGAATGCACCAATCAAAAGACATAGAGCCACTGAATGGATAAAAAAACAAGACCCATCTATATGCTGCCAACAAAAGACTCACTTCAAACCCAAAGACATAGACAGACTGAAAGTGAAGTGATGGAAAAAGATATTTCTTGCAAATAATAGGGACAAAAGAACAGGAGTAACAGTACTTTTGTTAGACTAAATAGACATCAAAACAAAGAAAGTAACAAGACACAAAGGACATTACATAATGATAAAAGGGTCAATCCAACAAGAGGATATAACCATTATAAACATCTATGCACCCAACACAGAAGCACCTACATATGTGAAACTAACAATTAAAGGGGAAATAGAATGCAATGCACTCATTTTAGGAGACTTCAACACACCACTCACTCCAAAGGACAGATCAACCAGACAGAATATAAGGAAACAGAAGCATTAAACAACACATTAGAACAGACAGACCTAACAGACATCTGCAGAACTCTCCACCAAAAAGCAGCAGGATACACATTCTTCTCAAGTGCCCATGGAACATTTTCAAGAATAGATCATATACCAGGCCACAAAAAGAACCTCAGTAAATACAAATCGACCGACATTTTACCAACCAGCTTCTCAGACCACAAAGGTATGAAACTAGAAATAAATTATGCAAAGAAAACAAAAAGCCCCAACACTACTTAACAACATGCTCCTAAATAATCAAAGGATCAATGACCAAACAAAAAGAGAGATCAAGCAATAAATGGAAACAAATGACAATAATAACTCAGCTCCGCAAAATCTGTGGGATGCCATGAAGGACATGCTAAGAGGGAAGGATAATGCAATACAGGCTTTCCTCAGGAAAGAAGAACAATCCCGTATGAATAGTCTAAACTCACAATTAATGAAACTAGAAAAAGAAGAACAAATGAGGCCCAAAGTCAGTAGAACAAAGGACATAATAAAGATTAGAGCAGAAATAAATAAAATCAAGAAGAATAAACCAACAAAAAGAATCATTGAAAGCAAGAGCTGGTTCTTCAAGAAAATAAACAAAACAGATAAACCCCTAGCCAGACCTATCAAGAAAAAAAGAGAATCTATACACATAAACAGAACCAGAAATGAGAAAGGAAAAATCACTATGGACACCATAGAAATACAAAGAGCTATTAGAGAACTCTATGAAAATTATACGCTAACAAAGTGGATAACCTAGAAGAAATGGAAAATTTTCTAGAAAAATAGAACCTTCCAAGGCTGACCCAGAAAGAAACAGAAAATCTGAACAGACCAATTACTAGCAACGAAATTGAACTGGTAATCAAAAAGCTACCTAAGAACAAAATGCCTGGTCCAGATGGCTTCACTGCTGAATTTTATCAAACATTTAGTGAAGACCTAATACTCATCCTCCTCAAAGTTTTCCAAAAAGTAGAAGAGGGAATACTTCCAAACTCATTCTATGAGGCCAGCATCACTCTAATACTAAAACCAGGCAGACTCCACAAAAAAAGAAAATTACAGACCAATTACCCTGATGAACATAGACGCAAAAATACTCAATAAAACACCAGCAAATAAAATTCCAAACTACATCAAAAAGATCATCTATCACGATCAAGTAGGATTTATTCCAGGGATGCAAGGATGGTACAACACTGGAAAATCCATCATCATTATATACCATATCAATAAAAATAAGGACAAAAACCACATGATGATCTCCATAGATGCTGAAAAAGCATTTGACAAAATTCAACATCCATTCATGATAAACACTCTCAACAAAACAGGTATAGAGGGCAAGTACCTCAACATAATAAAGGCCATATATGACAAACCCATAGCCAACATCATACAGTGAGAAGCTGAAAGCTTTTCCTTTAAGATCAGGAACAAGACAAGGATGCCCACTCTCCCCACTTTTATTCAACATAGTTCTGGAGGTCCTGGCCATCAGACAACACAAAGAAATAAAAGGCATCCAGATTTTCAAGGAAGAAGTTAAACTGTTGCTGTTTGCAGATGACATGATATACTGTACATAAAAAAACCTGAAGACCCCAAAACTACTAGAACTAATAACTGAATTCAGCAAAGTCACAGGATACAAAATCAATACACAGAAATCTGTTGCATTCCTATATACTAATGATGAATTAGCAGGAAGAGAAATTAAGAAAACAATTACATTCACAATTGCATCAAAAAGAATAAAACACCTAGGAATAAACCTAACCAAGGAAGTGAAAGACCTGTACCGTGAAAACTACAAAACACTCATGAGAGAAATAAAGAAGATACCAATAAATGGAAATACATCCCATGCACATGGATAGGAAAAATTAAGTAAAAATGGCCATCCTGCCTAAAGGAATCTACAGATTCAATGCAAGCCCTACCAAAATACCAACAGCATTCTTCAATGAACTAGAGCAAATAGTTCTAAAATTCATATGGAACCACAAAAGACTCCAAATAGCCAAAGTAATCCTGAGAAGAAAGAATAAAGCTGGGGGAATTATGCTTCCCGACTTCAAGCTCTACTACAAAGCCACAGTAATCAAGACAATTTGGTACTAGCACAAGAACAGACCCATAGATCAATGGAACAGAAGAGAGAGCCCAGCTATAAACCCAAGCATATATGGTCAATTAACATATGATAAAGGAGCCATGTATATACAATGGAGGAATGACAGCCTCTTCAACAACTGATGTTGGCAAAATTGGACAGCTACATCCAAGAGAATGAAACTGGATTACTGTCTTAACTCCATACACAAAAGTAAACTCAAAATGGATCGAAGACCTGAATGTAAGCCATGAAACCATAAAACTCTTAGAAGAAAACACGGCAAAAATCTCTTGAATATAAATAAACACGAGCAACTTTTTCCTGAACACATCTCCTCGGGCAAGGGAAACAAAAGCAAAAATGAACAAATGGGACTATATCAAGATAAAAGGCTTCTGTACAGCAAAGGACACCATCAGTAAAACAAAAAGGCATCCTACAGCATGGGAGAATATATCTGTAAATGACATATCCAACAAGGGGTTAACATCCAAAATATATAAAGAACTCACACACCTCAACACTCAAAAAGCAAACAACCCTATTAAAAAATGGGCAGAGGATATGAACAATTCTCCAAAGAAATTCAGATGGCCAACAGACACATGAAAAGATGCTCCACATCACTAATTATCAGGGAAATGCAAATTAAAACCATAATGAGATATCACCTGACACCAGTTAGAATGGCCAATATCGAAAAGACTAGGAACAACAAATTCTGGCAAGGATGTGGAGAAAGGGGAACCCTCCTACACTGCTGGTGGGATTTACCCAAAGAAAACAAGTTCTCAGATTCAAAAAGACATATATACCCCTATGTTTATTGCAGCACTATTTACAATAGCCAAGATATGGTAGCAACCTAAGTGTCCATCAGTAGATGAATGGATAAAGAGGTGGTACATATACAAAATGGAGTACTATTCAGCCATAAGAAGAAAACAAATCCTACCATTTGTAACAACATGGATGGAGCTAGAGGATATTATGCTTAATGAAGTAAGTCAGATGGAGAAAGACAAGTACCAAATAATTTCCCTCATTTATGGAATGTAACAAAGCAAAACTGAGGAACGAATCAGCAGCAGACTCAGAGACTCCAAGAAAGGATTAGTGGTTACCAAAGGGGAGGGGTGGGAGAGGGGATTGAAGGATATCATGATTAGTACACATGGTGTAGAGGGGGTCACAGGGAAGACAGTATAGCACAGAGAAGACAAGTAGTGACTCTAACATCTTACTACACTGATGGACAGTGACTCCAATGGGGTATGGGAGGGACTTAATAATATGGGTGAATGTAGCAACCATAATATTTTTCATGTGAAACCTCCA